CCCGAACGGTCCAAAATCTGTCCGAAAAAAAAAAGAAGGTCCAAACGTTTTTAGAGGCTCAGCCTGTGGGCCTGAATCTGGCCCCGGCGCTCAAACGTGTACCTGGCCACAAAACGGACAACATCACACACGTTAGAAAAACAGCAGCAATAAATAAATAAAAGAATATAAAAATAATCTGAAGCTGGCGTTTTTCTGATGCAGGCCCAAGTAAAAATGCCATAGGGCCTTCAGGTTGCGGTGACGCGACCTGGGGGCTCTATTCCAACCTCGGGTCCTGTGAGGGGCCCGTGTGTAGGCTCTCAGCATGTAACAATAGGCAGACCCAGCATAGGATTGAGCTCCTGCCAGGTGCGGTCCCTCCTAAGGGCCGTATCTACAGGATGTCACCTGCTGAACTCGATGAGCTAAGGAGACAGCTTGAGACCCTGACCAGCAAGGGCTGGATCAGACCCAACACATCTGAATTTGGGGCTCCAGTTCTCTTTGTCCCAAAGGGAAATGGAGAATTCAGGATATGTGTGGACTACAGAGGTCTCAACAAAATCACTAGGAAGTCCACTGAGCCCCTTCCTAGGATTGATGAGTTGCTGGACATGGCGCAGGGCTGCACAATTTTCAGCAAGATCAATCTCAAATCTGGCTACCACCAGATTGAGATGGTTGAAGGCGATGTCCACAAGACTGCCTTCAAGACCAGATACGGCACCTATGAGTATCTGGTCATGCATTTTGGTCTTTGCAATGCCCCTGGCACATTCCAGACAGAGATGCATCGCATACTCAGGCCGTACCTGGACAGGTTTGTAGTTGTATACTTGGATGACATTTTGGTATTCAGTCGATCTGTCGAGGAGCATGCGCAACATCTGGCTCTGGTTCTTCAGGCACTACATGAGACCCACTACATGATCGACAGGGAAAAGTCCTCCTTTGGAGTGACTTCTGTGACTTATCTGGGACATGTAATCTCTGGGGAAGGGCTAGCTCCTGAGGCAACAAAGGTTGCTGCAATTCAGGACTGGCCACAACCCACTACAGTTCATGATGTCCGGTCATTTTTGGATCTTGCATCATACTACAGGAAGTTCGTCAAGAACTTCTCTGCTATTGTTGCACCCCTGACTGATCTTACAAAGAAAGACACCCACTTTCTTTGGACATCAGACTGTCAGCAGGCTTTCACACGCCTCAAGGAGGCCTTGATGCGTGCACCTGTTCTGAAGTTACCTGATCCTAGCCTGCCCTTCGTACTAACTACTGATGCTAGCCAGTATGCGGTTGGAGCGGTACTTCAGCAGGATGGTGGGCATGGTCTGCAGCCAGTTGAGTACATGAGTAAGAAGATCAAAGTCAAGATGCTGCAAGATTCCACGTACGAGAAAGAGCTATATGCTCTGGTGTCAGCGCTAAAGCATTGGAAGCATTTCCTCATGGGCAGACACTTCCAAATCTATTCAGATCACTCCACCTTTCAGTGGTTGAAGACCCATGGGGAACTGTATGACAAGCTTGCGCGCTATATTCAGTTCATTGATCTCTTCGACTTTGAACTAAAACACAAGAAGGGTTGCTACAATCGTGTAGCAGACACCCTTTCTCGTAGGCCTGACGCTCTTTGCATGATCTCCTCTACCCATACTTTTGGGGAGAGCACCCGTCAGACCATCGCCCAGCTATTGCCACAGGACCTGACTTTTGGCCCGATCGTTAGGAATCTGCAGACTGATCCTGCCTCTGAACTAGGATATATTTTGGTCTCAGGTCTGCTGTACACTTGCAGCAGAGGAGAGGAGTGTTTGTGTATCTCTCAGGACCGCCAGCTGAGAACACTCACGATGTCTAAGTGTCATGATGCTCGCGACCACTTTGGGGCCTTAAAGTCGTTGGCAACCCTGTCCCAGCGGTTCTTCTCGACGGAGATGAGGAAAGAACTGCTGCACTACGTTGAAACCTACGAGTTGTGTCAAAGGAACAAGGTCGTTCGTCGACCTCCCCTTGGCCTGCTACAACCACTTCCCATCCCTGATGCACCCGCACAATCAGTATCCATTGACTTTACTGATCTGGGGAGGACTACTCCTCGTGGTATAAGTCAGGTTATGGTGTGTGTTGACAGGTTTTCTAAGTATGCAGAGTTTGTTCCTCTGCCAGAGGAAGCCAGAGTCCCGGCCGTGCAGGCGGCCGTTGCTGACAGGTGGGTTACTCACCATGGACCACCCACCTCTATTGTCAGTGATAGAGATCCGCGATTCTGCGGCAATGAATGGTCGTCCTGTTGCAAGGACTACCTTCATTCCAGACTGGATATGACATCTGGTCGTCATCCTGAAACCAATGGGCAGGTTGAAGTGATGAACGAGATTCTTTTCCAGTTGCTGGGTCCTGTGGGTCCTGTGATCCGTCCTGATCAGCAGGATTGGGATCTCCATTTAGGACGGGCACAGCTAGTGTACAACACGTCTGTACACTCCTCCACAGGGTTCACCCCTTATCGATTTCACTGGGTCATGAGCCGGGCAGCCTCTCGATGACATCATCGATAAGGCTACCCCCAGACTGACTCCCGGGACTGCAG